TCAGGTCAACCCACCAACCCACCAATTAAAAAAAATTTAATTAAAATTCAAAAATAAATTATATTTTATGAATTTTTATAATATTATTTTATTTTATTTTACACTTCTCTTAATTTTTCCAGTCTCAATTTTAAATGTATACTAATATTCAGTTAAATATTCTTTAGAAACTCATTTGTCTCCATATATATATAACATTTGTCATAAATAAAATTGTTATTTTATATTTTCTCGGAAGTACTAAGATAAAAAAATTGAATATTACAAAAAATTAATGACAAATGAAATACTACTTAATTGTAAATAATAATAAAAAATAGATTACCAAAAAAATAAAAAATAAAAATTATAACCCGACGAGCCAACCCGCCCTGCACGGGTTAAACCTGTTTTGACCCACTTTTAGGCGGGGCGGGTTGAAGTGGATTGGTGGGTTGAAAACATCAACTCAACTCGTCCCGTTTTGACAGGTTGACGGGTTGACGGGTTGACCCGCCGAACTCAATCCATATTATCACCTCTACTTTTAAGACCATATTTCATGAGCAAAGTGGCTCGAATTGGTTAAGTAAGAAGAGAATGTATTTTTTAATTCTAATATAAGATTACGAAGTCTGACTTTCTATTTCAATTTTCATTCATTTAGTGGTTGTAATTTATTTGAAATTGATAATTAATTATTGATATAATTAAATAAACTATAATTATTAAATGAACAAAAATCAACCCCTGAAATAAAAAATAAAATTTTTAATCTTACACTGAATTCACTAAATACAAACCACTAGTTGATTAAGCTGGCCCGAGGGTCGAATTGGTCAAGGGTAGTCTGATTTGACCTGGATGGAGTAAAATAAAATAGTCACCAATTTTTCAATGTGACTTGCCTTGCATGGATTGGTCTTCAATTACTAATATGAACACATTTACCTTTCAACTTGTGAAATATTTATTAGCTAATCATTATTATATTTAATACATTCTTAAACATTTATTTCGAATAGTGATTAATAAATGTTTGGTATTTTTTACCACATCTACTAGGATAACATAGTAATACTCTTTGATAAAAGGGGAAAAAATGTCTATCCGGATTTTCTTTGGATATTTTTAAATTGACAAAATATATCAACCTTTAAAAGTAATTTTTTTGATAATAAAAATTGCAAAGGATAAGTGATTGAATGAATGTCGACCATTGAATGGGTATTATTATTTTTCTGAACCTATATTTCTTTTACAAAATACCTTCGATATCCTTAGCCAGCCCATTTACAACCTTGTAGTAAACATAAGCTTCTTTACAATCATATGCTTGAGCTACCAACCTTACCAATTTAAGACAGGTTAATTTGTCTATATATATAACTCTGTGTACGATCAAGCTTATCGTCCTCTTGGATAGTCCTCCCTCTTTGTATCTTGCGTAAATCCATTGTTTGCATCTCGTGTCCATCTTTGTACTAGCTAGGAATTTGATTTAATATCATTTCCGGCTAACATCTTTAAAGTGTGACAACATAATATGCCAAATGTCTAAAACTTTTTGCAACTACATGAAATTGTATTATCAAAAGAATTAAATACCACTTAAACTCTTTATCATTATTGACCATACGAACCATATATTCAGAAATTGATTCAACTTCATTATTGTCTTATGCACAGGGTTGCTCTTCTTGGAAATGTCAAAAATCATGTGAGTAGAATTTTTAGCAACTTGTAGTTGTTGTCACAAAGATAACTCTCCATCTTTGACCTTGGCAAATTCTGTCTACATTAGACTCACATATTGCAAATCATTATATCGTTTATCACTAACAACCCTTTCAAACAGAAAACATTAAACCCAAAGAGGTGATGCCTCAAACATATATAGATTATGCACTTTTCATGCGATGTAAAATGGTGTAAAGCATATGATGTAAAATGTTTTTATACGAGTATGAGAGAGAAATTTTTCCCTGAAGTAAAAAAAGATGAGGTAGGATATTCATACTACCAAATTTTTCTACTACCACTCTAATCACCATTGGATTCAAAAGTTATTTTTCTTTTCTCTCTCTTCATTCAACTTTTCCTCTAATCCAATGGTGATTAAAGTAGTAGTAAAATGGTGGTAGAAAACTTTGGTAGTATAATTATCCTACCTCAAAAAAGATATATTTTTTCCAACTCTTTAAAAAAAAAATAACTATTTTAATTTAAGCATGTATAATCAAGATTTACTATTCACCAGCATGCATACTTACTAACTCAAATGAAGCCTTTTGCTTTATGCCTAATTCATCTGCCAAGTCAATCTTGTAAGCCTGCACTTGAGAAGATTTTCTTTGACATGCTACCATTACTCCATGGAATGGCGGGAAGTGTTTTCTGAAACATATTGGGGTGGGGGGGGATCCCGAACCTTGTTTTTGTGAATGGGAAAAAACAAATTAGTCTGGTTTAATGAAACAGTGTGTTTCAAAGAAGTATACGTGTCACAATTTGTGCTGTGGATAAAGTTTTATTGTAAATGTAAGGTTGAGATATATGGAATATGACATTCTCTTGTTTGTCAAAAAGAAAGAAAGAAAGAAATCCATTTGTAATTTTAGAAAATAAAAACAAAATTTTTAATAATTTAATATAGGCTTTTATTATAGTTATGTTGTAGGAAAATTGATTGTGTAATGTTATAGAGATTCGTTTTGCGTGCCATAATTTCTTTTTTTCCTTTTTTCTTCAAAAGATGTGGACCCCACAAAATGTTGTGTGTAGAAAAGTTTGTTGTATAATGTTAAATGACAAATGAAAACCGTTTTAAGATAAGACATAAATGTTGACTGTCAACGTAAGTTTAGCTCGCTATGTTGACCTTTTCTTTGATGACCACATGATTTGATTTCGAATCTATGATTGGGATTTGAGACAACTTGGTAATTACGACTACTCCTTGGAAACGACGGGCGGTAAGTGTTTTCTGAAACATGGGGGTGAGAAAACAGAGTCCCAAACCTTGTTTTGTCAAAGCCAAATAAGCAAATTGGGCTGTATTAATGAAACAGTGTGCTTCAAAGATGTTTACGTGTCACAATGTATGATGTGGATGAAGTTTTATTATAATTTCTCTTGTATTTACCCGACAAGGGAAGCTACAAATCCAACTGTGATTTTAAAACATGAGAACAAATTTTTTAATAATAGAAGATACGACATGTATGTACCGTTAACAAACGACTTGACTTGAGTGTGAATCTATAATAATTGATAGGCGATCTTGATAAAAATAGTTTTACTTTGGCTGAACATGATAATATTTCTCTACAAGTAATTTGATAAAACTTTAATCCATAGATCTTCTCCAAAACAAAGTGGAGTGCACCAGGAACAGTAAAATACTAAGACGTACTGAAATTAAATTTTATGTAAGCAAATTTATTTATATAAAAAAAGATATATATCTTGTATTTAATACATTTATATTTATAGTCTATGTAGCACCGATATCAACACGTGACACGATACAACACGACACTCCGACACGTTAATTCTAAAATATGTTAGAGTTCGACACGTTAGAACACGATCTAATATTAAATAATATTTTTAATTTATGTAGCGTATATTATATTTAATATTCAATAATTTAACAAAAAAAATGAAACAAAACTTATAATATTCATAAATTTTGCAAAGAAACATAAGATATCCCAAATATTTATATTAAACTCAATAAAATGGTAATCGTAATTCAAAGAATCTAATAATTGGAACTAAAAATTCAACGTAACGCAACCTTTGAATTTTTTTTTGAATTTCTATAATGCACGTTGGAGTGTCGGAGAGTGTTAGGAAGTGTCGGTGCTTCATAGTTTATAGTAAAGGGATTGTCAATTTGGTAAATGTCCCTTATTGTTGTCTACAAGTAGTGAGGCAACAATATCTCCTTAGTAGTTCTTGTGTAGGTAGTTGGCTTGAGATAACTTCCAGAGAAGAGTTTTAATGAGTTCATATCATCTTGAAAATACTTTTTTTTCATAGTAAAGGCTTTGACTTAATATATTACTTTAGATCATATCTAAAATTTTATCATAAATCATCAATGAAATTAACAGCTTGTCCTGTATTCATTCATTCTTATCTCTTTAAGTTTATCCACCCCCGACCCCCTCAGTATGTATATTTATACATTATCACTAATAAATACGAGACTAGAACCCCTTGCCTCACTGGAAATGGAACTTTTATCCTTTCTTCTTACAAGACAAGGTGGTATACCATCGTTGAATATATCAACTTTCCATTTTGGACCTGAATTATTCAACCGTACAACCAAAACTCCCATACTGTCAAGCAAGTAAATAAGCAACAACAATGCTTGCATCTCATCACACACCCGCTATAACTCCCATTTTGGAAATGGAACCCCTTGCCTCAATGCTTTCTTTTGTATGTTCCTACCCTCATATAACTGGCCAGTTTCTTTTTCTTCCACATATTATGACCATAGTAGTTAATTGTGCCGCAATAGCACCGCGAGTCGTGCCGTATGGGTGTTACAGTCTCTCGTCGCAAGAAACTGCACCGGAACGCAATAGCAACTATTGCGATCGCATTTGCGGCCATATTGCTGTCATAAGGTAAAATGTCAATTTTGTCCTAAATTAAAATGTGTCACAAAATTTTTTTAAGAGTTTTTTAGTCTCTATGCGTCTCTCTCTGTCACTTCTGTTATTTCTACCTTTAAAAAATGTTTCTTTTTGTCATTATTTCTGTCATATATCTATTCCGCTATTTCCGCAACCACAACCCGCTATAGCGCTATAGCATTTTTCGGGGTTGACTGCGACATGCCGCAATCCGTATTTGATAACGTTGATTATGACATTAATCTTCTAAAGTGTGTATAATATGTAGAATTCAAATATAATCATATTTGGCCCTTGATTTTCATCCATTTAAACGTACAGATCAAAAAACAAAACTCCTCGTACCATTTTGTCGAGGGGAAACTGAGATAATCATCAATCTTCAAGCTAAGAATCCTCCCTCCACCCCCTCCCAGAATAATCAAAAATTAGATTAATATGGCCAAGAGGCACAAATTTTTTGGTTTTGGCAAACTATATGGTTAGCATAGTGGAAACTGCATGTAAAGCACTGGCACATGTTTTCTCAACTTTAATCTTATATCTGATCTGATCTAGAGTAGAAAGATGTACATACTATATACACATGTATACACACAGAGAGAGGACTAAGAAAAATCCTAGTCACAATTCATTTGATGATTCCTCCCTCTGCTGGCGCATTCGAGCAGCCCATGACATATTCCCTCCAGTATCCTTGCTCTTACTTCTTCTCTTCAGCTCAGACAGTTGAGAATGCCAACGAGCTTTCCATTCACTTTTTTGTTCAATCACCTGATGCAAAAAATCAACTTAGATCAATAACAGCATTGTTCTAGCAACAACCCCTCCCTTTTCTCATTAAATAAAACAAAAACCAAAAAATAAAACAGCTCTATTGAGAACAAGTCAGAGTAACTTGGACAACTGAAACAAGCAACAGCAATAAATTAAAGGGTCCCTATCTCTTTAGAATGCCATGATCCATGAATCTCCTTTGTAGGACCTACCCATCACCATGATAAAATAAAAAGTATCATATGAATAAAGAAATAACTAAGAAGATCACAGTTATTGTAATCTTAAGGAACTTTTCATCATCATTATTATTTTATATCCTTTGACATTATTAACCAGTATAGACTCTTAATGTGCTGAAGAGCCAATTATACAATTAATACCACTACATCACGCTTATTTAGTTATTGAGGTGGTGAGCTGGGATTGAAGTTGACACATTCAAAAAGGAAAAAAAAAATGGAAAAAGGACAAAAGCCAGAAAAGAAACCATCGCACAATCTATTCATGCCAGGAAAATGCCATAAGAAAAGATCTGCCATAATCCTCATAATTCATAAAAAATGGAACCGATTATGGTTACAGAGTAGGAGTCAAATTTGCAATTTCAATTGAGATAGTAAATAATAATATAAGCTCACATCAGAGAGAATCTGTCATCCCATCATGAAAAAGAAATGGCAGCAGAAACAGGATGCCAGCTATAACTATAAATTTTTTAACTTAAAAAAATAGAAAGAGATGGTACAACAGAGAAGGAAGTCAAGTTCCCACTAATAAATTATGATAAGCAGCCAGACTATCAGAATGAAGCAATTTCATTCCATCCCATCCCAAAATTGTCTCAAACTCTTATAATCCATTTCTATGTTTCCTGAGTTAAAAAAATCAGTAGGAAACAATTTTGGATTCAATTACAAAGTAGCCAACCAATTAATGGAACAATTATACTGTACCGTTGAACAAATATATAAGAACAATGTTTTGAATTGTGGTCCGCAATAGCAATTGCAATTGCAATTGCAATATTGCGGTTTGGAAGGTCTTCGCAACTGCATCCCAAATTTGCCCAAATTTCTGCAATTTCAGTATTTGCACTGCAATTTAAAACCATGATAAGAACAAAGCTTCATATGAAGCAACCATATTCTCTCATGCACACTGAATTTGAAATTATCATTTAACTTTTTACTACATGGTTTCATTACAAAAAATTCATTTTCAGCCAAAAGCTCTATCCTGAACATATTGATTATAAGCTTTTTCGGAAAAATAAAAATAAAAATTAGTCCAAGCACTTCAATTGTTAAGTCAAGATAAAAAAAAAAATTATGTATAAACACGACCATGCTCTGCCGATGAAATTAAAAGAACATCACCTAAACTTGCTCCACATACCTAAAGCTTCTCAAACCAACAAACAAAACAGAAATCTATAACTGAAGTAGCATGATAACAAACATAAACATACATTCCAACCTCATCAAAGGCTAAAACTCCAAGCAAATAACAATCGGTGACTCACTAGAAAAGTGAATTGCAACCCAAAATCAGAACAAAATCAAACAATAAAACATCATAAAGAACAACATGAAAAAAATAGAAACTCAAACCTACACCAATCAAACCACCAAAAAAAAAAAAACACAAACACACAAAAACCCATTAACATAAAACCAAAACAAATTAAGCACACCCCAGAAAAAGAAAAAAAAATTAAATTTTCATGAAATAAGAATCCATACCAAATTACCAAACACCCAACAATAAAAAAAGAAAGATAAGACATACCTGATCATGGTTGTGGTAGCGTCTACGAGCGTTGAATGCGAAGTGAATACCACTGGCCATGTCTCTATCGTACATGGCTCTCCTTGAAGGATCAGATAAGGTCTCGTAGGCCTCCTGCACCTGAATGAACCTCTTCGTGTACTCCTCGACCCGACCCGGTGGCGACACGTCCGGGTGGTACTTTCGAGCCAGCTGCTTGTAAGCGTGCTTGATCTCAGTCAACGACCCCGATTCCGATATGCCCAGAAGCTTGTAGAAGCTCAATTCCGAAGCCTCCTCCGCCACGAAACCGTCGTTGAGGGTGGCCTTCGCCTTCGGATACCCGAACCCGATACTGGTTCGGGTCATGGGCCTGGTGGGCCTGAGGGATATAGGAGTTACGGTGGGGACGCAGAAGCGATAATCGCTTCCAGGGATCGCTAAGCCATAATATCGCATATCTCCCAATCTCTCTCTCTCTCTCAATCTCTCTCTCGGTCTCTCTCTCGTTATTCAAACTGTGCGTCTTTCTATGGTTTATAATTTTATAAGGTTCTGAATTTTCTTTTTCATTGTTTTTTATTTTATTTTATTTTTATGGGTTTCATATTTTATATTTTTTTTTTGGCTGTGGATAGCTTATCTTTTCAGCTATAAACGAGCTAACAAATTTTTAGTGCAACCTTTTCCACTTACTAGCAAGTGAAACTTTGTTATTATAATTATGTATTTTAAAAAATATATAATTATAAGGAGTTATACTTCTTATTCAACTGCAAAAAAAAATTTATTCCCGCTGACTCTTTGACTTTTGCACTTCTATTTTTATTTTATTTTTCTTTTTTTAATTTGTGGGACCCACTCAAATTGGGATTGCTCGAAATATTTTAACTTTTGATGTTAAAGGAGAATTATAAATCTCATAATTATAATATTAAAATTATATTTTGAAGAGTATATCAGCCCATAATTTTTTGAAAAAAATTTAAAGAAAAAAAATAATTTTAATATTATAATTATATATTCTTTGAAGTATATAATTATAATAATACTATTATATTTACTTATGCAAGGTTGCACCAAAAATTTATTTATAAATGAGATGATTTGGAGTTTATACTATTCGTTTGGGTTGAGCATTAGCATTTGTAGATTATTAGTTAGTGATCCGTGTATAATATAGGCCTAACCAGGGTCCAATAAATACATGGAAGCTCAAGCCCTATAGGACCCAGAATAAGGCATAAAAGAAAAGCACGGGACGCGATAACCCTATCACGTCACACCAGCGCGATGTCCATATCGCGGAACACCAGGCGCGATAGTCTCATCGCGTCATACACGGCGCAGTGCCTCATCACAGCATGCAGGATATACTTACTCCCCACGCAACGGGATACCTTCTATAGACAGTAAACTTAAGGGCCAAGGCAACACCACCACACACAGCTCCAGCTCGTCACAACTCTACTAATAGACAACATGGCGGCAAGCTCCTCAACATTTAAACCATGACAGCCACACTACGTTGGCACCAAGGAGCCTTTGCCTTCACCATGAAGAAAGGTCTCCTCCAAACACACATCTCGATTACTATATAAACATACGTTGTGCCACCTAGGTACGATCATCCTTTACTTTCACAACATAAACACCTGCCTCTGATACTGACTTGAGCGTCGGAGTGTCTTCGCAGGTACCCCATCCGGTGCAACGTGAAGGACGAAGGACAAAGAGCTCAGGCTCATCCCACATCAACAGCACCAGGCCTAGGCCAGTAACCATCTAAGGAGTCTCAATCGTGTGTGATTTGGGCTTGATACGCATTGGGTCATCCCTACCGTATCTGGTCCGATCAGTTAGTAATTTGTATTATTCTCTATTCGTGGAGCTGATTAAGATATTCCCAGAGTACTAGAAGTGAATAATGGTATAATTTCGTTAATCCAATTTTATGTATAATCTTTTTATTTGTTTTACTTTTAAAAAAAAGATTTATTTAAGTATATAAACATGTAACAACTTTTTAATCCTATTATCAAAGCTGATCGAATTTGTTGAGATATATAGTTCCACATTGGTTGTATGTGCAACTAATGTGGTCTCTATAAGACCTTGGGCACTCCCACCCTTTGAGCTAGCTTTTGAGGTGGTGTATCCCAAGGTTCTTTACATGGTATCAGAGTCTCGTGTCCCGGGTTCGATCCTCGCCGCCCCTCACTTTCTCTAGTGAAATTTCTATAACACAGGTAGGCTGGGCCTGTTGCATCTTCTACTCTTCAAGCCCAATGGGCTCTTGTGTGAGGCGGCGTGTTGAGATATATAGTTTCACATTGATTGTATGTGCAACTAATGTGGTCTCTATAAGACCTTGGACACTCTTACCCTAGCTTTTGGGGTGGTGTATCCCAAAGTTCTTTACAAAATTATTTCAACTTTAGTTGTGCAAAAAATGTTATCAAAAGATTCAAAACTAAACCAACTAGGTTCCAAAGTTTTGTTATTATTTTAATTTTTTTCATAAACTCCCACCTGTATATTACACTATTAAATTCGAGTATACAAAAAAGAGGTCCACAAGTGTATTAAGTAGATCAATTTCAAATAGTTCCATAGATAATTTATATTTTGAAGTAATGATTTAAATAATTGATTGATTAGCACAGGAGGCGGGACAAGGGGGGCCAACCCTCCCCTCACACACACGCAAAAGAAAAAGAAATAAAAATAAAAAATATCGATTCAGAAGCTGTGATTGATAGAGTTTCAGACCAAAACAGTCATCATTGATACCAACGACAAAAACTTTAAAATGTGACACACAAGTCAAAGAAGCCGCCAGGGGCAGGGCTTTCTATTCCCCCAATCGTGATCTTTGAGCAAAATTAGATGAATCGGAACTTTCAATATAATTTATTTCAAAAAAAAAAAAAAAAACTTTCAATAAAATCAAAACAAAAACATTTACCATGAAATTGCAGAGAAGTTTGCATCAGTGTTTAAAAATTTAGCTCGCTCGTCGACTCGGCCAAGATCAGGGGTCATGAATTCAACAGGAAGATCAAGAGTCACTAAGCTGATCTGATTTTATATATTAAAAAATATAAATATATACTTTTATATATATATATATATATATATATATATCCTATATGAAAATATTAAAAAAGAAATCATCAGTCATCAAGAATTCAAAATATACTTAACATAATTTACCAATTACAATCACAAGTCAATATTACACAAACCTAATTAAAGTATCAAGATGTCAAAATACAAAACTCATATTCTAATGCATTTTCATTTTCTTTTTTTAATAAAATGACATTGTTTCATGAAATTTTCTTTTAAGAAAAAAAAAAACATGCAGTGACCCCCTTTAAACCCTTTGACTCAGGAGTCACTGAAATTCGGTCGAGTTTTGGGAGTCAGAGGGTCGATGTGCATATAAGGTCCAACTTGTAATTCCAACCCTCAGAGGAGAGAGGTCAGAGTTGACTCGGATCAACCCGGGAGGCGGGATGACATTTTAAAACAGTGGTTTGGATGTCATATTATTTATGTTACCGTAATTAGACAAAGATATAGACCAACAAAACTTTCAATAGAACCACTATTACGTCTCTCTTGCTCTACAAACAAAGCCCGCAATGAGATAGACAAAGAATAAGATAACATACCAAATGGTGGTAGCTCAGTTGGCGCATGGGAGCTGAGCAGGTGGGGGTGATGGCATGTGTTCGAATCTCCCCAGTACCACCTTTGGGAGGAGTTTAAAGCCTTAATCTTGGACCCTCCCCGAATCGGACTAATCGCGAAGCGATGGACCGATGAAATATTTCCAAAAAAAAAAAAGAATAAGATAACTTTCCGAAAAAAAAAAAAAACAGAAATAAAGACTACAAAAAAGAGCTAAAGTAAATAATAGTAGTAGTAAATTATCATAACAACACTTTTCACCAAAAAAAATTATCATAACAACACCATCATCGAAATAAAGATTATCTCCATTTGTTTAAAAAAAAATTATCCTTTTACTTTTTTTATAGTCAATGTTTATCTACGTTAAGTCCAAAATGACGTCGTTCTAAGACGAAAATCCAGGTGTTTTTGAAATTATAATTTATTTCAAGGTTATATTAAATTTTTTTATTAAATTTTTTTAATTTTTCAATTCAAAACGACGTCATTTTTGAAATTTATCTATATTCACTTTCACTGTAGAAATGTTAAAAATGTTAAAGCGATTAACATGTATACAAACGCAGTAGTGCGAAATAGCAAGACAATTTGAATTAATACTAATGAAGACACGATTGGAATGTAAACAGAATATTCAAGTATAAAAAATCACAAACAATTCTCCCGTAAGTTTTTTTTTTTGTTTGCCAGCCCACTTGGGGTTGAATGAAGACTATTGAAAGATATAAACATAACTCACACATCACTATCACATTTACCAATATGTTAGCTTTTGCAGATAGAATATATAAATCAATCCTATCCACAACTCAAACAACCATTACTATTCACTTTTATACATAACTAATTATTTACACGATTAATGTCTTTCTCCAAAAAGAAATATACTAGACAATAACATAGGCTGTAGAGATAGAAATTAGAAGGAAAAGAAAAGTAAGAGGTAGAATTAGAAAAAGGGGGAGAATAGGGAAAAGAAGTAATTTTGAAGAGAGGAGAGAAAAATTAGATAAGAATAAAAATAAGAGAGAAGATAAGAGGGAGACAAATAATTGAAAGGTAAATTGTAACGGTTTAATTCATTGATTGTTCTTGTATAGTCACTTACATCTTTTAATAAATAAATTAAATTACTTAATAACCTAATTTGAAATAAAATAACTAATGCTACTAGTAAATAAGATAAACTAAACTTATTAAGATAAAAATAAACTAAACATAATTTGAATTCTAGCTACATAGACATTTTACTCCACAGATTTCACATCATTACATAAAGCAAAACAGGAAAAACTAGACAGATTGGGGTCCAGACGGACCAAGCTAGATCTGAATGTTAAAACAAAGACAATCATAAAGCAAATAGGAAAAATAACAAAAGAAAAGAAAGGGGAATTAAAAATTTCAGAGATCAATATAAATTCGAAGAAAACAACTTTTGACAGTCTGAATTTCTGGATGGAGGAACAATAGGTTCTGCCCTGTTGCTCTTTTCTCTTTCTTTTTTCAGTTTTTATAAACTCGTTCCTCGAATCCCATCTCGTATTTGTTTTTTGTTTTTGTTTTTTACGATTGTTCAAAAACAACTTCGTTTTAAGAAAGATTTAAAAAAAAAATTACGTAAATTATACGATTTTTAAATCTTGACCAAAACAGATGGAGTCAAATCAAATGCTTACATTTATGATTTAACCGATATATTATACTACCTAAACCGTATGCTTGATCGGTTTATTGCTTCGAATTTAATAACATTAACTTGATCGCTGCAGAAATACCTACCTTTATCTTCGCCGGGAGAGTTTAACTACGCATTCCACGAGATACAATCTCCCCTAAGAAAGCTCTTAAGAAACCAACAATTTATATGCTTTTATTTTTTTAATAGGAGTAGGACGCTCTTCTTGTAACCAATTATCAAGTGCTATCATTATCGAAGTTCAATTAACTAACTCGACTGGTGAGATTGTATGAAATTATGAAAACAATCCATATAAGCATTAAATAAACAACAACCATTCATAAAAGGTGAGAAAACAGTTTTTCAATCAAGGAGCAATTAGTTCAATTGGTTTTGACAATTTTATCCAGTTATTACTCCTTTAACTAATTCGGCCAAATTATCCATGACAATTTTAGAACCTGTGGTTTTTTTTTTTTTTTTTAATTTCAATATCCATTATCTCTAAACCCCGTGACATTCAGAATAAATTGTCTATTTTGACTAAAAGAAAAACGAGAGAGAACCTCGCGTTAATTCTAGGCATCTATAGTTCAAATTAACCATCAACACTGAGATGAGTCCCAACTGAAACCATTTTGTTCGAACATTATCTTACAGGCTTAAAATTAACACAAATCAAACCAACCTACTTTTGATAGTGATTTAGTTCAATAATGAAATCTCACCTAAACCAGATCAGTCTAAGGATAGAGGAAAAATTTAACATTTCAAATAAGGATATCCAAGACAGTAATTTAAGCTTGAACCTGGCCTCAAAGCAATGAGCTTGCAAAAAGGGAAATTTTGGCTGATTAATGAAAATAAGAGCAAGCATGCTGATAAAAAGAACCACCCTCAACTCTTGAACCATAGCTGAGGAGGGGCTTCGTGCATCAAAAACTGTATAGAAAAACAATTTTCAATTTATGAACTTACGGAATGTGTTAGATAGAACATGCTTGGCAATTATTATTACTTCAATTATGTCTTACATGATTGTGTTTTTCACGCTTAGCTACGAGTGAATATGCAGGTCTTGCAACTAAGGGGCCGTTCGGTACAAAAAAAAATTTAGGATTCCCGAAAAAACTAGAAGTGATAATTTTACTTACTCACGTTTGTTATGAAATTTTTAAAATTTTCTCGGAAATCTGATTTTCTCGAGATTTTATTTTCTATGTAATTTTTTTAGAAAATACCATACAAGAATACCATCCACGGGCTTATATTCTTGGACTTCTATGACAAGAAAAATTTTAATACAACCAAACATAATATCAAAAAAATTAACCCAATATTTTCAAAAATATGTTAGCCTACCAAACAACTTTTTGATAACATTCCCGGAAAACTCATTTTTCAATCATATTTCTGGCAATCGTGATTCCCGGATAAAAAAAAAATTCTCCCCTACCAAACGCCCCCTAAAAAATATTAAAGTTATTTTCCGGGGAAAATTACAACACTGGGAAAAAAATTCCTGAGAATGAAACTCAATAATATCGAATTTTAAAAACTTATCATATTCCAAAAGATATTTATAGGAATCAAATTTCTGAGAATTACATTTTTGGAAAGGTTGATTTTCGAGAATGATTTCAACATCTTCTCAATGCACTATATTACCCTTCTATTCACATTCACCCAATTTGTAAACGATCATACCTGAGCGAAGCACTAGAAATGTAGTGTCGGGGGGCCATAAGGTTGAGAGCTAGATATACAGACAATAAACTAGAAAGGTACTGCCATTTCTGAACCCTCAACCTCGTAATCTAATTTACTTTTCTTTTATTAAACTATGCAGAACTAACAACAAACACTACTTGCCAACTTGAAAAGGCATAAAATTGACAAGCTGCCATTACTAGACCAGTTGATGCAGAGACAACGATTACTAGGAAATTTAACCCAAAAAATAAAACTAAAACACAAAAATAACTTCCATGAACAAACTTCACACAATCATCTGTTGAAGAGATTTTGCAGCTGCTCAAAAGATCATCATATCCAATGCTTAACCTAACCAAAAAAAGGAAAAACGAGAAAAAGAAGGGGACAAAAGAGGGAGGAAAAGAGAGTAAAAAAAGGGGAGAAAACTTTCAGATGTGATTCACAACCACCGTAAAAAAGTATCCCATACGTCCTCAAAAGAAAGGAAAAACCCAAAAGTTCTCCAGCACTTCAACAAAAGCTCATATTTTCAAAAACCACAATTTATATTCTTTGACATCATATCAAATCAATACAACAAAAACTCATTACAAAACCATTAATATGACACTGAAAACCAGTCAATCTACACATAATTGTAATAAGTGAAATACGGAAACATCAATGCGAACAGGACAACATAAAAACTAAATGAAGTGTGGACGAGGCTGACAAGATTAAGTTAACATAGGGGCAACTATACATACGAATGTTATTGAAGATCCTACAAAAATAGGGAAACAATCCAATAGTTTCACGAAGAATTACCTGTTGAAATCATTTGCATTTTCAGCATTTACTTAAGTAAAAACTGTAACTCAGCCAATTTGCTCAAACGCAACATGATGTAACTCATTGCAGCAACATCCAGGTTCAGTTGACCTTATATAGAAGCTTTACCTAACCATGACAATTTCTTGGGAAGAAAGAAAAAGGAAAAAGGAAAAAGGAAAAAAAAAAATGAAAAATGAAAAAAAAAATGCAGGACAATATAAGACACAAGATTATGATGGTAAAAATATTGGCAAACAGTACTCAGAACAAACGCACTCATAAATAATACAAAGTTAAGCGCCTCCCATTGCTCTCAACACTGGGTGGAAGAAAAACAGGTATGCTCTGAACCATAGAGCATCAGAATCTGACTGCATACCTCATTTACATAAGAGAAAATCAACCCAGCGAAACTGTATCTCAAAGCTCCAACAGATTTCAATGTGAATAACCTGCATTTGTTTTGGATATAACATGCCCACCATACCATAAAACATGAGCAAATCAAGGGAACCTATGGTTGGCCACATCAAAGAATGATGCTTGCAACTAAACATTAACACTACGACCTGAAGTATATAGAATCTAGATATAACACAGACTAACAAGAGTAGATGAACTAAAAAAATCACTGTAGAAGGTTCAGCTTAACACATTGCTACCCCTAGCCCAAAAAGTTTTAGATGCATCTAATCAGGACACTAGTTAAAAGGATTACTCCCTCCACACTATCGCCTTTTTTAAATGAAAAAAAAAACTTAGAAAGCTGCCAAAAAAAAGCTTTCAAAACTCCAAATTAAGCTAACTGAAGCACGCACTATAAACCAAAAATTCAGACTCCATCAGATTTTTTAAAATATATCAACACCCAAACATAGCAAAATGTAATTAACTTGAATAAAAAAAATAGTATACTTAAAATAACATTCCAACATACATCAATCAAGCAGTAAAAGAAGCGTGATAGACACTTCTTGAAACCTTAAACAACAGCTGAGGGATTCAACACCTGATCTTTTTCCAACTCAACCTGCAAAAAGAAATAAACAACCGAAGATGTTCATAAGCCAACAGATAATATTCTGGGGACCGAATCAAATAGAGGAAGCATCCACTGAGAATTGTGCTTCTACTAAGAAGAAACAGTCTTCCTTTAAAGAACTTGTTCAGGAAACTTAATGAGAATCCTTAATTAGAATATGCTTGTATCCCATAATCAATGACAGGTGCAGAAATCTTCAGCAACAGACAAAACCATGATCCCTGCAATGCTTTTGTGATAAGATTATAACTCTAGTGACGAGAAATCGAATTTGTCTGGGTGACACAGATGCTCTGATCCACATTTATAAGTAGGGAAACTATGATTATCCTTGTCTTTTTAGTACTTCTGAATCGAGACGAAATAACAGATCTCGTAGCTATATTGTTAGCATTGTCAAAATCCAGGTAGAATCTTTGAACTCATTTAGATCCACCACTCCTGTAAAGCACAGAAAGTAACTAAGCTTTAATAGTCATATAAAAGAGCATAATCAAATTTGTTCTATATTTTAGGTCATTAGTCATTACCAAACAGTGTTTGATTAATATTTTCCACTTCCCACTTCTTCCACGCACTTCCACCCTATATCAAAGAAGATTCTCAGATTTTGTAACCCCTATATAAACATAATCAACATTAATGTTTAACAGTGGGACTTGCCATACCTGGGTTATCATCAGCTACTGCATTTTCAGTTGACCCTTCTGATTTGTAGTCTTCATTTACTGAAATCAAGATACCATTATCATTTTGATTTGTTGAGTCTTTCACATTAATAATTGGTTCCTGCATGGCATCTTCGTGAAATTTGAAAATTTCTTCACTAGTAGCATTTTCTTCATCACTCAAATGATGCTTAACTTCTGCAGATCCAGAATCAGACTGTGTTAATCCTTTTGATTCATAATGCTTGAAATCTCTTGGGGAGGGCCCACTCTCATCATATTGCTTATGAGTATCTGATTTTGATTTAGACAGGGTTTTCTCTTTATGCTCTGATCTTTCATCTCTACTTCCATATTTATCACTGGAGTGATGGTTGCCCTCAGGGGACTTTGACCTGAATTGCCTGTGTTCAAAATTGCTCTCATCCAAATTTCTATGGGATGAAGTGCCTCCTTTGTCATGCTTACCTTCTAATGATATAGACCTCGAACGCCTTCTATCACGATGCTTTGATTTCTTATCTTTAATTTCACATGATTTATCTTTAGAACGATGTTTCCTTTCAACAGATTTAGACCTGGTCCTTTTAGTATCATGATGTCTTGACTTTTCATTTTTGCTTTCATCCTCTCTGTCATCAGTTTGATCCCTATTTTCAATAGATCTTGATCTAGAGTGCCTTTTATCACCATGCCTCGACCTTTTATTTCTGTTTTCATCCAATTTTTCAGGCAAGCGGTGCTTGTCATCCACAGATTTTGACCTGGACCGCCTCTTGCGACTGGATCTACTTTCATCCACTCTTCTTGGGGATGATCGGATCCTCCTGTTAGGCTTCTCGTCCACAGATACTGACCTGGACCGCCTTCGCTCTCTATGTTTAGACTTTCCATGCAAGATTTCTTCATTTTTGTTAAAGGAGTGAAGCTTATCATCTGAAGATCTTGACCTCGAGCGCCTTCTGTTTCTTAGTTTGCTTTCATCAATCTTCGGAGAAGACCTACTTCCTCTGCGATGACTTGGAGAGCTCGAACCAGCACGGAATGGTTTCCTTCCTCTATGCGGTGAACTTTCTCTGTGACGTTTGGGAGAAACAGGCGATTTCCTTGTATGAGGGCTCATGCTCCTACTCCTGTTTCTTCTTGACACAGATAAATGATGTTCAGGTAATCTATCTGATTCTCGTCTTCTGTACCTATCACTATGTTCCCTAATGTCTCTATAGGACCGCCGCTCCCTTTCATAGCTCAGATGATGATGGAACCTCAATGGTGACCTGGACCGATGACCCTTAGGATGGCGGGCAGGTGAGTAGGAACGAGACCTCCTCCTTCTCCGGTAATTGACAGGAGATCTTGACTTTGATTGAGATCTTCCAGGAGGGGGAGAAGGTGATCTGCAAATGGAAATTGAATTTAATATTTAGAGAAAGTCCTTTGTAAAGAAAAGCTGAATATGATAAATAAAAAAATAAAAAATAAAAAAAGATACCACAATTTATTTCAAAATAATCTCTTCACAGGCCCCTTAGAAAATATCTTAGTTGAAAGCATGTCTTTTTTACAGGTCACATTTTAATTTATCATCTTCAATAACATAGTATTCCATAGACCATTCAGATTTCAGACACACATCTTAATAAAGAAGAGCAAATCAATTCTTATTTCTTATGTATTTACAAATGCACTAATTTTAAAAAATTATTCATTCACATTGGAAACATTTTATCCCCAACTAGTTTGGGATAAAGGTGGTGTTGATGTTGATTGGAAACATTTTATATTGGGGAATGGTGATGATACATGAAAAGAACACACTTTTTATCAAAAACTTCGGTTTATTTTAAGATCACATTAACTAAGATACATAGCTATAAACATTATTCTACATAATCTTGATATTTAACGTGTAGTATGTTGTGCTTCTTAACCTCATGCCTTAGCACATTTAAACTGCAAGCTTCTATATTATAAGCAAATGTAGGGTAGATTCTATAGAATAAGTATTTGTCCGAAGGAATGACTGACACAAAAAACTAGAAATAATGGGAAGGTTGAAAATGGCTGCACTGCCTTCAACACCCAAAAACTGCAATAGAAGAAGCAGTATATAAAAGTGAATTCAGTACCAGATTTGTGTTATGGCAGAGCCTTCTTAATGGGGAAAAGTATACATTTCAGGCCTCTTTGCTCAATTTCTTACATCTCAAGCTATTTCAAGCATCACATCATATGAGTTCATTATAAATATCAAGGGCATGCTACCCAAAAAAATAAAAACCTTGGAAGAGTTGCAACAATAATTTTTTTAAAAGAAATTAGACACAAAGCACCAATAGAAAATATAATCAACAATACAATCACAAAGTAATCCAACCTGGATTTCTGTTTTGTCTCCTTCTCTTCGCTTCCTAGTCCATCAGCTTTCAATTTCTTACTTATTTCTGCAGCTCGTGCTGCTGCTAAATCTGTGGCAGATTTCATGGTTGCAGCTCTGTTAGCAGCCTGTTGTGCAGTCATAGTTTGTTGCATAAGCAGTGCTTGCTGGAATTGCATCTGTTGCATTGCAACAGCTTGCTGCATCATCAAAGGAAGAGAGGATGAAGAAAGAGAAGAATTTGCAAGAGATGGTTTCTGCGGAAGTGATTTTGCCATTTCAACATTCAAAGGGCGCCCCCCAACGTCTATGTTATTTAATGCCAGAGCAGCAGTTGCCTCTTCAGGTTTTGAGTATTCTATATAAGCAAAATGCTTAGAATCAGTGATTGTACATTCAACAACAGTTCCACAGAAGCCAAAGAGTTGTTTTAGTTGTTCCACAGTGAGAAGTGGGCTAAGATTGCTAACTTGAAGAGTTTTCTTCAATGCATCATCCTTACTAGCTTTTTCAGGTGAACCTGATTGTGGTAGCAACATCAATTGTAAGAAAAAAACCAGGAAACAGTAAAAAAGAACATCAAGAATGTCACAACCAAACATGGTGCAAAATCAAGGAGAGAAAAATTCATCAAACATCATATATGAGCTATGTAAAGAAGAACACGACATCACTGTCAGGCGAGTCCAAGGGAAGCCCGTCGTGGGGGGACCACCACCAATGGGCTAAAACTACACCATTATATCAAATGGGTCCGACACTATGTCACGACCCAAAACCCTAAGGAATTTGAGTTCATGGATCCATCCACTTATATCTACTTCACTTGGCCTATTACCAATCAATGTGGGACTCATCACACTAGAATATCCCAACAATCACTACAAAACAAAGTTAATATAATAACAGCGTACCAGTGGAATCTTTAGCTGACTGAGCTTGCACCTGAGCTGCATGTGCTTGAAGGGCTTGGGCTGCAACTATTGCCTGAGCGGCTGCCATTGCAGCGGCAGAAGGCGCCATAGGAGCTTGGCTAAGTGTTCCCATAGAGGTTGTCGCAGCTAAGGCAGTCATTAGCAAATTATGAGGTGGGTGATTCAACTTACAATCAACTTTTACACAGCGTCCATTAAGGTAATCACGACAAACTTCGCCTAGTGAGGCCCCAATTCCTGGCAAAATAGCACCCCCAGAAGCTCCAGCAACAATCCCTGGAATCATTCCCAACAATCCTGGGAATGCCCCTGAAACAGACCCAGAGTAATTTGGCATGTTGGGCATAGTTTGATTAACCAGATTTGGAAATGAAGATGCAGGAGCTAAACCCATCAGCCCTCCACTACTATTACCTACAAAAAAATAAAAAAAATAAAGTAATGAAAATTGACAACCATGAAGATTATTACAAAACCAAAAGACAGATAAATGAGCAGCAATAAGGTCATCTTTAAGTTATATTTTTTACTTTTTAAACACAATATTGTACACAGCATTCCACAAACCAAATGCTACACACAAAAGGCAACCAAGTAGAACTGCTCGCCAATAACAACTCAAAGAACCACGATACATTCATCAAAATACAGAAAAAAGTAAACATTAATCAGAGGGTTTTGCGGTGTAGTAAAGATGAATACCTGCACTGAAAAACACAGGGAACGGACTACCCATGATTGGCTTGCCATTACATTCAACATTGACCATATAATTCCCTCTCTTGGGCACAACATAAGAAATAGTATACGTTCCATCACCCATATCCTTGACAATCCCTTCTTGGTCGGACCCTCCAACACCCAACCCCGGTGTCACTTTCACATTGATTTGTGCACCCCCAGTTGAAACCTTCCTCTCATCAGCATCCTTGGTCACAACCACAAAAGAAGACGGAGCACAAGCTGTTCCGCCCGCAATACCAGTACCTGCAGCGGTGCACTTTGAAGGGTCCACCGGCCCAATAGGCTTCTTCGCCAAATCCTCATATTCATCAGATTCACTATCCGATTGAACATTCCCCCTTTCGTGAGTTTTCTCCAAATCTCTAAACGTCGCCTCAAATGCAGCTTTGGCTGCAGCAGCTTTCTCGGCCTCGCTCTTCAGTTTTGCCTCTTCGGCTTGCTTCATCCAAACCGGTTTAACAACGGCCAAATTCCGATCAGCCATCAACCCTAGCTCTAATCAATACACCTAATTAATAATATAAATCTTCGATAAAACTGTTCAACTAAACAACATTCAACAGAGAAACGAAAAATTAAACAAGAAACCCTACAATTAGGGGAGGGGGGGGGAAAAAGCCTATTCAAGAAACAAAAGAAAAACAGCTTGAATCTGGTGTTAAATGCGGAGATAGATTAAAAAAAAAAAAAAAAATTGCTCTTATATTAAGGCATCAGATGCTAATTTCCAAGATTTGGGAGATTAAGCAGAGAAAATTCCTAGAAATAAATAAATAAACTGGTTCTCGATCGGGAAATTCCTAGAGATTTTCTTGGAGATTTTCTGAGTAACCAAACGGGGTAGATTGGGGAAAGATTTAAATGAGTGAAAGTAAAGCGTACCTGTTTGTTCTCTGACGGCTAAGTTTGGTTTTGGAGCTGTGGGCTATTCTGATAGGTCTGGGGCAAAACCTATAACGAAACATGCTTACGTGAATAAATATTAAATAAAAGAATAATTCTAAATCTTATTAATAAAATTTTGTCATTAATGAATTAGAAAATTATTAAATATATTTCACTATTAGATGTATTTATTTTTAATTTTAAGGTATGTTATGATGCATCAATTAAGGAATTAAAATTATTTCTTATTTAGTATTTTTTTTACTTTTACTTATTTTACTGTACAATTAAAAAATAAGTTAACATAATATTTTATTTATCGTTTTTATTATGTATTAAGAGGAAGTTTCTGAAAAATAAAATAATTTTTCAAATGAAAAGCATAAGTATTTAATGTATTAAATTTTTAAAACATTTCTTGTTTTTTAAAATAATTAAGATGGTTGAATAAACCTAATGTTATTTTATTTATCAGAAAAATATTTCTACACTTACTGCAAATAAGTTATCTGCATTCATTCCCAAAATTACGTCATTTTTAATTAAAAAATTATAATGATAAAGACTATTATAACCCTAAAATAAATAAATAAAATCATAAAAACACCTTGATTTCTACTCCAAACGATATCGTTTTGGGCTCAATGAAGATAAGTTATTTGCGGTCACTGTACAAAAAATGAACTCTTTATTTATTTACATACACCCTTAAAACATACACTAATAAAATAAAATATTATAGACAAATAATAAGTAAATAAAAGAAATTATTGTCCATACATAACTTTTTGCTTTACCGGTATTTGTGGTAGTTGTTAAGTGTTTTTTTTTTTTCGTATATCAAAGGGGCTAAAGCCCCAAAACAAAAACAAAAACAAAAACAAAAGAAAAGACATAAACTAAAAATAAAAGATCAAAAACAAAGCAGAAACTAAGGCAAGGAATCAGCTAAGGCATCTCCAAGATCTAGGTAGTCAACATATAACAGAAGACGCAACTTCATATAAGGGAAAGCAAAAATAGAGAGACCATAATTGTTATTAAGAGCATCTTTAGTCATCTAGTTTGCACACCTGTTGGAAGATTTGGGAATATGGGAAAGAGATACTATTATGGATTGGATCCATATCTCAACCACATATTCAATAGGAGATGACAATCTATCTCAATCTTATCACACCAACATAATCTAAGGAGGATCAAGGAATAAGATCCTTATCCCCAACAAATAAGACATTTATCATATAAATCAAGGGTGACCTAAAGCCCAAACCCACAAAGGTAAACCCTATAAATAAGAGGCTAAAGACCTCATGTACACATTTTTGACCTATTTACTATTACTGATTTACTGCAAATACTATGCACACACTCACGTTTTGATTATACGTTTATTGCTTGTGCGCAGAGATTAGTACATTGGCTTTAAGCCAATAGGATATCTTTTCAATAAATATCTCTGAGCGCATACCTTTACGGTATAGATTTACATTCATTAGGACCGAACATTGGCACAGTTTGTGGGAACGATAAATTTTGATCCTCATTCTGCGATGGCAGTAAACACCTGAAGCGGAGCAAACAATCCGTCGCCGCCGCTGGATCAACAATTTGCGATGGAGAGGCTTCAAGGTGGAGGAAACCCTAGTATGGAGGAGGTCCGCTTGAGCGATGCAAAGTTTGAATTTGGGCCGACCAAAATCCTGAAAACGCGGCGATAAACCAACAGCACAACCTTCAACCAGAAAACAACTCGTAGTGGTCAATCAAATCCATGAGACCGCCCATGCTATGAAAGAGATGGAGAACAGGGTGCTAGCTCAACAGCGATTGGACGCCCAAAGATTTGTGACGTTGGAAAATAGGTTGGCAAACCAAAATGTAAACATCTAATGCAACCATGCAGAGCCTCACATACGAGGTGATCCTGAGATTCAGAATGGGAATGAGGTTGACAATAATCGCGATGCTGAAAATAATCGTGGAAATCATAATGATGGTCATAATGGTCATGGTGATGGGCATAATGAAGACCACCATATAGGTCGTAATGGTCGTGGTGAAGGAAATAGAGGCCATGATGATGGTCGAAGTGTCCAAAATGAAGGGCATCACAACACCAGAGGCCAAGGATATGGTCGAGGCGATGAGAACAAGGATCAAGAGAATGACAACCCATTCACCAATAGACTTATGAGCATGGTGATCCCACCGAGGTTTAAAAAATGCAATGTGCCCCCTATGATGGTAGTCAGGATTTAGAGGCTCACCTGGAAGCTTTCAAAATTGAGATGTTGTTATATAGGATCACCGGATCCATCAAGGCTCGTATATTTGCTACTACTTTATCTGGGCAAGCCATGACGTGGATCACCAGGCTGCCCAGAAACTTCATTGACTCGTTCGATGTTTTGGCACATACTTTACGCTTGAATTTTGCTACCAGTAAGGCTCGCCCAATGACGACATATGCAATGGGTCGAATTTGACAAGAGAATGGAAAGACGATAAGAGAATATCTCGAACGGTTTAAGCAAATCGCCCTCAAAGTGCTCAACTTGACTGAGGCAATCCACCTGCACCTGATTTTTTGAGGTTTTAATGGATGATCTTTCCTGGCTAAATCAATCTTTAAGACTCTAGTAAACGACTTAGAGGAATTCATAAGGAGGTCGGATAAATATCTAGATGTGGAAGAGATGGAGTTAGTTTACGACACCATCAAAGTTGGTAAAGTTGGCAAGAGCCTGTACAGGAAGAACAGAGACAGAGATCGACAAGGTCCTAAGAAGACGTCCGATACGAGATCTAGAAAATTGAATGAGCTCTCCAACATAGCTCAGTTCGATAACTATACACCTCTAAATGTCCCCAGGCCTGGGATATAGAGAGAAGTAGCCCAAACTGAGCTCCGTAATGTGGAAAGGCAGAGGCCAATCAAGAACAAGGGCAGACTGGATAATTCTAAATATTGTGCATTTCACGACGGTAATGGAGACACTACCGATGAATGTTGAGACCTCCGATATGCTATCGAAAAGCACATCAGAGAGAGAAAGCTGAAATAATACCTCATTCGCACTCAAGGAAGAAAGAACAACAAGCGAAGGCAGCGAAGTCGTAGTAAGAGTCCCATCCCGAAGAAAGAAAGCAAGCGGGATCGAGATAAAGATTACTGCGGCAAAAGCAAGAAAGTTGAAGCCAAAGATAATGAATTTGAAGATGCTAAATATGAGTGCAATATGATAAGTGGAGCACTTGGAGGTGGAGGTGATACCACCAGTGCCAAGAGAAAATATCTCAGAGAGGTTATGTCAATTAAAGATAGACCCGTTTTTAAAGAAAGGGGGAACAAGCCATGTCCCCCGAGGTTATTCTTCACTAAAGAAGAATTGGAAAAGGCTGTCCCAAGACATACTGACGGCTTTGTAATTACTGAGGTGCTGGTGAATTGCTGAGTTAGGAGGATGTTTGTGGATCCCGGAATCTCGATAAATATTATTTTCTGGAATGCCTTTGTGAAAATGAATCTAGATGAGCAAGACTTGAAGCCATGTGTAACTAAGCTCGTTGTATTCAATGGAGAACGATCACCACCAAAGGGGTACATTGACTTAAAACTCACTTTGGGAACAAGGGAAGCAAACTGAACTGGACGAGTCCTATTTGTTGTAGTGATGTGGTTTCCTCTTACAGTGTCATAATTGGCCGACCTACTATTCATAAATGGGACATGCTCGTCTCTACCAAATATCAGGCACGCAAAATGGTAGAATCTAAGAATAATGTTGTCACTATCAGAGGAGATCAGAAAGAAGTCAGAGAGTGTTATTATGAAACGCTCAAGGTAAGTCAGGGCGGCCCGTCCTCACCACCTAGGTTCTGTGAAGGGTAAAAAACCCCAGCCAGATTCGAATCAGTCTATCCATGTGGCAACCAGGTCAACATGGTCGAGTTGGACATGAGGGAGGAACTACAAACTCTCATGCCAGAATCAGAAAGGGGAACTAAAGGAGATTATTATTAGAAAAAATGAAAAGCAATTCACTAAGATTGGCAAGACCATGGAAGCCGAGGTAGAGAAGCAACTTATCTCTTTTCTGAAAGAGAATCGTGATATTTTTGCTTGGAAGGCGTTAGAGATACCTGGATAGACCCCACTTTTTGCTGCCACAAGTTGTCAATGTATCCCTAATCCAAGCCAATAGCTTAGAAGAAGAGAAAGATAGGACCAAACCAACGTCAAGCTCTGAGCGACCATGTGGACAAGTTGCTGGAAGCTGGTTTTATCAGATAAATATAGTACACCACCTGGCTATCCAATGTGGTAATGGTCACGAAATCGAGTGGAAAATGGAGAATTTGTGTGGATTACACCGATTTGAATAAAGTCTGCCCAAAAGATTCCTATCTCATGCCCAACATAGACCAATTGGCGGATAACTCCTCAAGATTCCAACTTCTTTCTTTCATGGATACGTTTTTCGGGTATAATCAAATCCCCCTATACTCTTCTGATCATGAAAAGACCGCTTACATTTTTTGAAAAGGGGAACTTAATAAAGCGATGCCTTTCGGTCTTAAAATGTCGGGGCAACTTATCAGAGGATGATGAACATGGTTTTTTATAAACAAATTGGGAGGAATCTGGAAGTATACATTGACGACATGATAGTGAAGTCAATGCGACCTAAAGATCATGTGACCAACCTGAAAGAGACTTTCGAACAACTAAGATCTCAGCGAATAAGGTTGAACTGGGTCAAATGTGCGTTTGGAGTGCCAGCAAGTAAATTCATAGGTTTCATGCTCACAAATAGGGGGATTGAGGTCAACCCTAACAAATGTAGAGTTATGTTGAAAATAAAGGAGCCCCAAAGTAAAAGGGAAATCTAACAGCTTGCAGGAGGACTGGTCGCCCTAACAAGGTTTTTAAAGAGATCGACAGA